AAATCAAATCCTGTCATCATCCTATTCAAAACCTTCTCAAGGTTACCCACCTTACCTCAGAGTTAAACCCAAAACTCCTTACAATGGCTTACAAGGCATTCTACAGATGGTCTTATCACATCTTTCATCTCCTGCTATATACCTCCTTCCTCTCTTGGTTCAAGGCACACTGGCCTCCCTGCCATTCCTTGAAACCAAAAACCAAACCATGCCTCAGAGCTTCTGCACCTTTATTTCCTCTATCCAGAATACTCTTCCCTCAGCTATCTATGTGATTTGTTCCAATACTTCCTTCACAAATGACACTTAGTGATGTCTTCCCGTAATCATCTTATTTAAAATTAAACCCATTCCTCAAAATTCTTTATTTCTCACCACAGTACTAACCACTATCTAACATATTACACATTTCACTTGTTTATTTTATCTCCTGTCTCTTCCCCCTAGAATATGTTTACTGTACCACTGCATTCTGTGCCTAGAACTTTAGCACAGAGTAGGTGGCTGAATAACAGTTGACTGAGAATGGGATAAATCTATATGTACAAGGATGTATTTATTTAGTGAATTAGAATTATACATAATAGTGGGATTCACTATGCCATATTCACAGGAATATTCACTGCAGCATTATTTGTATGACCACAAATAACAAAAATAACATTATTATCCATAATGTTTTTAAGTAACTACAAAGTAATAATAAAGTTTAACATTCAAGTTTTTAATATTTCCTAGTGCTTTAGATATGGTAACATTTAAACACTGAAACAATCCTGTGAATAGGTAATATATTATTAATCCATGGATGAAAAAACTAAGGCACAGAGAGGTTAAGTGATATGCTCAGGTCACAAAACTAGTAAGTGGAGATCCAGAATTCAAATCCAGGAAGCCTTATTCCAAAGTTAATCTTCCTAGCCTCTTATTATGATCTGCTTTCATAAGTCAAATATGATCATATCCCTATAAAACAATGAGAGCAGAACTTCTCTTACCCAATAAGAATGAAAAGTCATATAAAGCAAGGAATAAAAATATGCTATACATTCTTATTTAAGATGAAAATAAAGTATAAATGTTTATGCAGCAATTTTTTTTTTTTTTTTTTTAAATAAAAGCTACCCTTTTCAGGGCTGGAGTTTTAACTCAGTGGAAGAGCACTTGCCTAGCATGTGTGAGGCACGGGGTTCAATTCTCAGCACCAAATATAAATAAACAAAATAAAGTCCATCAACAACTAAAAAATATTTTAAAAAATAAAATTAAAATAGGCCTACCCTTTTCTTCAGGGAATGGCTACACTGGTATTCCTTGTACTTTCTAGCAAAACCACACTGATTGGATTTCTTTAAGTGTAGTGCAACCTTAAAACAAATGCCAAGCAGTCGTGCACAATCTTCTACCTCAATGATTTTTCCAAAAGTCATTTACAGACATCTTGCCCACACCTAAGTCAATTACAATTTTTTTCAGCAACTTATCCTTATACAGCCTTTCTAAAGCCATAAAAAGTTTTCATATAAACTATGTACTGGTATTTTATTGGTTTATGTAATAGTTAATTAAATTTATATAACAAACAGCATCACACACTAATTTAGGAATAAACACAATTGACTCCCTGTCAAGAGTACAATTCAACTGATGAGAGCAGAAACACTTAAATATATTAGAAAATGGAAGATAGTCTTTTTCAACTCATCAGTCCAGTGACAGGGTAAGAGATTCTACATTAAGAATTTATAGATGTGCACATATATTAGAAAAAAGTATACAAAGACATGCAACATACCCCAAATTAAAACTAGAAGAATGAGACTTAATTGTTTAATATAGGTATATGTGGCTAACCTACAAGCATGCATTACTTTTTTTTTTTTTATTTTTAGTACCAGGGATTGAACTCAGGGGCACTCAATCACTGAGCCACATCCCCAGCTCTATTTTTGTATTTTGTTTAGAGACAGGATCTCATTGAATTGCTTAGCACCTCACTGTTGCTGAGGCTGGCTTTGAACTCGGGATTCTCCTGCCTCAGTCTCCCGAGCCTCTGGGATTACAGGCAAGCCACTGGTATTACAAGCGTGTGACACCACGCCGGGCTAAAATAGGTTTGTTTTTTAAAGTAAAAAAAAGAAATCAAATGCTGTAAACTAGATAAAAGTATTAACAATTTATAAAAGAAGAAAGAGACTCAATGAAGGGAGAACTTGCCTGAAACTGCAGAATTCACCAGAAGCTAAACTGAAAGGCTCTAATTGTATATGCCTAGAGTTTCAAAGCTCACATTTCTCCACAATGTCAAATTCATTGCCCGCCTCAAAAAAACAAACAAACAAACAAAAAAACCCTCAGATGACTATGAATTTTTATTTTTGGTGCCAGGGATTGAACCCAGGGCCATTTAATTGAGCCACATCCAAACCCTTTTTATTTTGCAACAGGGTCTCAATATATTGCTGAGGTTGGCCTCAAACTTGTGATCTTCCTGCCCATCCTCCCCAAGTCGCTTGTTGGAATTACCAGGGTGTGCCATCACAGCCATCTTGAATTTTTAAATACACAAAAAAAGCATCATATATTTGTTTTTTCCTGCTAGGTAACTAATGAAGCACACTGAAAGATTTTCAAAATGAGTATAAACTTGATTCTACAGCTCAATTCAGGCTTTACTTGCTATAATTCAAAAGAATGAGGACAGCCAGGTATGGTAGTACACATCTGTAATCCCAACTACCCAGGAGGCTGAGGCAGGAGGATCACAAGTTTAAAGCCAGCCCTGGAAACTTAGCAAGACCATGTCTCGATACAAAAAAATAAAAAGGGGGCTGGGATGTGGCTCAAGCGGTAGCGCGCTCGCCTGGCATGCGTGCGGCCCGGGTTCGATCCTCAGCACCACATACAAACAAAGATGTTGTGTCCGCCAAATACTAAAAAATAAATATTAAAAAATTCTCTCTCTCTCTACCTCTATCTCTCTCACTCTCTCTTAAAAAAAAAAAAAAAAAAGGACTGGGGATGTTGCTCAGTGGTAGAGGAAAAAGAAAGAATGGGTCATAATACCATACTATACATTTAAAAGGAAATTTTTCTTTACTCCTGGTAAAAGCAGAAAAGAGATCACTTCTTCCTCCTGGGGCAATTGCATAGCTCATTTAGTTTCTTCTCTCTCTGTCCATATTATCATTGTCTAGGTGTTCAACAGCAATAAAGCTCTTAGGGAAGTCACTATATATGGATATTTGGGGAATGGACTCCTTTCATATCCCTGCATTAGTTCTCCTTATAACACACGCCCCTATTCTCTCCCATTGAAATATCTTAAAACAAACACCTAAACTAGGTATTAATACTCAACTGATTCCAAAATAAACAGAAGCAATGGAGAACTACAAAAAAATCTTAGAAATATCAGATGGGCTGAGAAACATGATAAATATACTTTAGGGAGTTCCAATCAAATTACATGTCACACAAAAAAATAAAATAGAGGAAAACTTGAGATTTCCAAAATATTTTACTTTCACTAATCTCAATGTATCAAATGAGGAAATTGAGAGCCAGCTCCTAGCAAGCAGCATCATACTGTTCTATTCTGACCCTGCGGAGATTCTAAGTAAGAGTTGAATACTGTTTCTGAAGCAAACAGATATCTAATGTTGTCACTCTCTGGTTGAAAAAAACTTTTGATGGTTTCCCATGCCTACAGATTCAGAAGTTTAAACCATTGTGTAGAGGTAAACTGTTGTACAGCAGTTTAGCCCAAGAAAGGCTCTGGAAAGATGGACCTGAGTTTAAATATGACACCATCACATACTAGCTATATAAGCTAAGCATATCACTCTAAAGCTTCATGTCCTTCATCTTTAAAATAGGTACTGTGACAGTTGGAGCCTGAGTATTAAATGAGATTAGTATATTTTTTTGTTAAATGTTTAGCAAAATGCTTACAACTTTGTAAATACTTAGTAAATAGTATTCTACCTGAGTGCCTGAGCACTAAGATTTTTCCTAATACTGACGAATAAATGAATATTTAGCACATTTCATATTAGGAAATAAATGTAATACTAACTTTAGTTCTTTTCTAAAGTAAATAATGATAAACAGCAGCAATACTGTTTGAGAGCATTTAACTGTTTAGAATGCCCTTCTAATATCCATAAACTCGTTTGTTCTCCACAACATCCTCAAGGGAGTAGACACTTTTAAAATATGCAGACAGGAGAACTGCTAACAAAACCCTGGTTATCCACCCTAATGGTCTCCTACAACCAGATTCTCCAGCTGAGAGGTGAAGTGCTTAGTGCCAAATGTTCTTAACGTAAAATTCACTAAAATGCAGATTCCTCAAGTATAGTCAAGCACAGGAGTCTAGGAATGAGCCGAGGTGTAACAAACCCCTCAGAAGCCATCGATGATCATATTTATGTTGTACTGTTTCGGTATATGGTGTCCTCCCACAACTACAGAGCAGGAGCCAGGCCTGTGTGTAGGTGTTTCCTCCCCCACCACAGCCCGCAACACAAGACCTGGTACCAAAGAGGCCCTGGGTGAATGTTTGTGGAAATAGTACGGGACAGTGGTGGAAATGATCAGGAAACCTGGATTCACGCCAACTCTGAGATAGGAATTATGCATTTCGGGCAGATCTAGAGTCTTTGGGCGGAGATGGTCTGACAGGTAACTAGGTTGACAAGGATAATTGAGGACTAGCTCCGCAAAGAGAAACGAGGAAAGCTGACCCGCTGAGGGTAGAGGGGCACGCAGAAGATGCGCCTGGCTGGCAGAGATTGCTAGAAGGCTGAGACCCGACAGAGGCTCGGAGACTAGGGGAATCCGGACAGTTGGCATCTGAGAGGGGTGGGGGGGGTGGGGGCTCCTGCTGGTCTGAGAAAGAGCCCGGACCCAATCTGAGTTAGGAGGGTTATGCGATCCTCTAGGGGCCCACTCCCCATCCCGCGGGGACATCTGCTGCGCCGACTACTCGCTGCTACCTGAAACTGCAGCAGCTTCTCTGTCTGCTCCTGGGTTAGATCCCGTTCCTCAGGCGCCGCCATTTTGCCGCCGCCTCTACGCTCCTGACCCGTCCGCACCGTCACCCGCCGGAAGTGACCTCAGGCGCAACCACTTCCGGTCTGAACGGTCGCCGGCACGCAACTGCGTGTGCGCGCGCTGGCTCACACGCCCCTTCCTCAGCCTGCAACCCGAGGGCGCTACTCTCCGGTCAATGCCGAACAATTCCGGAAACTGCCGAGGGGCTGTCGGTACTAGTCGCCCTTTGGATTCAAGCCTCGAACGGTGACGGGAGTCCCAAGATTCCTGAGTGGAACGCAGAGAACCGAAGGGGCTTGACTGTGTTTCGGAGAGGTCCCAAATGGCGTTCGGCCGATTTGGGCTGCTCCCTAACCATCTTCCAATCACTTCCGATAATCCTGAAGGATTCTCAGCAAATCGTGACCGTTGGGAAATGTCGGCCGTTGACACTTGATTCACGTCCTGACTGTTCAAAAGTTCCGGATCGTCTCGGGAGGCTCCGAAAGTCTGAATGCTGGTGGGGCGTTTCCGCCGCCGCCTTCGTACAGGAAGCTGTGGGAAAGCTTTTTGTTTAAATTGCGGTCTCCGCATCATTTGGCAGGAGTGTTTGGACCTGGCTTCCTGTCTGTTGATGGTGCTCCCGTATATTGGGGGAGCTTTCCAAAACCTTGTAGCCAAGTCACCTTAGCTTCAAGCTTTCTCAGGTCATTCTGCACTTAGCGCCAAGGGCCTAGACCAGTGGCCCCTACAGCCCAAGAAGGATCCCAGGACTTGGTTCAGGAGAGTTAGGTTCAAGTTCTAGTTACCACCTTGCAAATGCTGGGCGTCCTTCGGCTAACCTCTTGGGCTCCATCTTACCAATGATTGAATAAGATTTTCCCCTAGAGCCCTGACATACCGCCTCTATTCATTTCCCTTGGAGAAGGTTCCTTACCCTTTTCATAGCTAACTTCCATACCCTTTTCATATGCTATTTCTGTTTTACCCCACCTCTGAGTCTCTACTTTCCTTGCAAAAAGAGAAGCCTAACACTTCTCCTTAGATCTCCCATTTTCGTTACTGCTACTTGATGCAAAGAGCTGGGTTTGGTACACACGTTTCCACTGCCATATTAAATATAAATATAAATTTGTGGGGCTGGACATGGCAACAGGGGCACTTAACCACTGAGCCCATTTTTATATTTTATTTAGGGATAGGGTCTCTCTGAGTTGCTTAGGTCCTCACTTTGAACTTGAGATCCTCCTGCCTCAGGCTCTGAATTGCTGGGATTACAGGAATACACCACCAAGCCAGGCATCATTTTCTATTTTGAGAGGACTCTCTAGGTTACTGAATCTGGCCTTGAACTTGTGATCCTCCCATCTCATCCTTCTGAGTTGAAGTGATTACAGGCCAACACTATAGTGCCCAGTGGGAGTTTTTCCTCTTAACACTACCATGCCACTGCCAGCAAGGAATTTGGCCTCCTGGACCCCACCTTCCATTATAATCCCCACCCCTGCTAACAGAAAGTGCTTTGAACTTCAGTAAATTCTCTCAAGGGTTAAGTTAAAGAATAGAAGGACTTGCCGGGTACAGTGGCGCACACCTGTAATCCCAGTGACTCCAGAGGCTGAGACTGGAGGATCGTGAGCCAGCTTCAGCAAAAAGTGAGGTGCTAAACAACTCATTGAGACCCTGTCTCTAAATGAAATACAAAAAATAGGACTGGGAATATGGTTTAGTGGTTGAGCTCCCCTGAGTTCAATCCCTCTTGCAAAAAAAAGAAAAAAAAAAAAAAAACCAGAATGGAAGAACTTATATTTTGCTTATTTTCTTTCTAGTCTTGATCAGGTTTCAGCAATAAAATGGAGCCCTTGCTCAATGGGCTACAGTCATCTGCTGGGTATTAACCAAAAGATGGGTTTACAATTGTAAATATGTGCCTCTCTCAAAAAAGTGGTGGCATTGGCATAACCTGGGGGTGGAGTAGGCCTCCAGATATCGAGGGTTCACCGGTGGGCTAGGGATATAGTTGGTAAAGTGCTTACCTCACATACACAAGGCCCTGGGTTCAATCGCCAGCACCACAAGAAAAAAAGAAAATGAGGTCATCCATATGGCATTTGTGCAGGCCCAACCAGAGAGCCAGTGTAGAGATTCAGTATTTCTGACAAAAATGGCCTTCAAATCCTTGAAAAATAATCTAGGCAGTCCAGGTTTTGTAAAGGTGGTCCACTTTATGGTTTGAAAATAGCCATTGCTGCTCTGCCACTGCGACTTTTTTTTTTTGGTACCAGGGACTGAACTCAGGGGCACTCTGAGGGCACCACTGAGCCACATCCCCAGCCCTATTTTGTATTTTATTTACTGACAGGGTCTCACTGAGTTGCTCAGCACTTTGCTTTTGCTGAGGCTGGCTTTGAACTCTCAATCTCCTGCCTCAGCCTCTAGAGTCACTGTAATTACAAGGTGTGTACCACCACACCCTGCGCCATTTATTTTTTAAAAGACATTTATTTCTCTTCCTCTCTCCCCTGCTCCTCCCTAATCTCTCCCTCTCCCTAATCTCAGGGGAAATAGGATTCCCTTTCTTCCCCATCCTAGGCAGTTATCTGTCCTTGAACACTTATAGGAAGGAAATAATTCAAACTTTGGGTTTGGCTCCAGAAGATCTCAGAAATGACTATCTCCCAAATTAACAAATTAATACAAACTCTGGACAGAACACATGGAATGTAGCCTTTGAGTCACCTCTTTAAAAGCCCCCTGCTTCCCTTGATGGGCAAATCCCTGTGCTTCTCCTTTGCTATCAAAGCAATAAACCTTTTTCCTTTTTCTCAAACCACATCTTGTTATTGGATTGGCATTGGGGACAAGGACTGAGGTTTAAGGAACAAATTTGGTACCCCAGGTGGAACCCCAGAGCAGCCCCCACTCCAGCTTTCTTGGGCAGGCCTAACTCTCCAAGGAACCCCACTTCCATGCTGAGTTCCTGAGTTTGGCTAATTTCACTTAGCCTGATATTCTCCATTTCCATTACTGGCAATGCCATAATTTCATTCTTTTTCATGGCTAAGTAGAACTCCATTGTATACATATACTATAATTTCTTAATCCATTCATGTAGTGACAGGCATCTGGGTTGATTTCATAATTTAGCTATTGTGGGGCTGGGGATGTGGCTCAAGCGGTAGCGCACTCGCCTGGCGTGCGTGCGGCCTGGGTTCGATCCTTAGCACCACATACAAACAAAGATGTTGTGTCGGCCAAAAACTAAAAAATAAATATTAAAATTCTCTCTCTCTTCTCTCTCTTTAAAAAAAATAATAATTTAGCTATTGTGAATTGTGCTGCTATAAACGATGTGGCTGTGTCACTGTAGTATGCCAATTTTACATCTTTTGGGAAAATATCCAGGAGTGGATAGCTGGGTCATATGGTGGTTCCATTCCTAGTTTTTTGAGGACTCTCCAAAATGCTTTCCAGAGTGCTAGTACTAGTCTGTTGTCCCACCTACAATATACAAATGTTGCTTTCTCCCCACAATCTCACTATAATTTATTGTTGTTTTATTCTTGATATTTGCCAATCTAACTGGAGTGAGATTTTCTCCCATTCTGTAGGCTCTGTCTACACACTGTAATTATTTCCTTAGCTGTGCAGAAACTTTTTAGTCCAATGGCATCCCATTTATTAATTGTTGGCTTTTTTTTTTCTTGTGCTTTTGGGGTGTTCTTAAGGCAATCTGTGCCAGCACCTATATGATAGAGTGTTGACCCTAGGTTTTCTTCTAGCAGTTGTAATGTTTCTGTTCTAATTCCTAAGTCTCTGATCCATTTTGATTCAAGCTTTGTGCAGGGTGAAATTGAAAAACCAGCCTCTACCTCAGCAAAGCCTGTCCAAGGAAGGGGACGTGACCCTTGTCCTTGGAAAGACCCACAGAGCACTCCTAGGCACATACCCACCCTGCTGAATTGTTTATCTACAAGTAACAGGAGAGATCTGCTGCTCCAGGTGTCCCTGACTCAGTCGGGCTAGGTGGGGACCCATAGCAACCCCCTAGCAGCCACCAATCAGCATGAGACAGGGAAATACCTGGGATGCCAGATGACCCTCCCAGTAGTTTATGGTGGTTGATAACGTGTTGGAAAACCATGTAGTTCAGCACGAACATCCCTCTTGGCTTAAACCAATCAGTTCAAAAGAATCCCCCTCTTGTAGTAACCAATCACCCTTATCCAACTTGCTCCCGCCAGTGAATGTGCTAATCATATTTTAGAGTTGTTTTATGATTTTCCCGCTATGTGTGATGATTTGCTAAGAGATGTTATGATGTATGTGAAGTCCCTGCCTTCCCCAAAGAGTGTATAAAATTGCTGCAAACCCTGGGCTGGGGCCTCTCAGCATCACCAGTTGCTGTGTGCGTGCAGAGGATCACGCTAGCTCGCAATAAACACCTCTTTGCTGCTTACATAGATCTTGGTCTCTGGTGGTCTTTTGGGGGTCCCGAATTCAAGCATAACAAAATATAAAAGTCTAATTTCATTTTTCTACAGATAGCTACCCTTTGTTTAAAAGGCTGTCTTTTCTCCAAGTTATATTTTTGGCACCTTTGTCAAGTATCAGAGGGCTATGGGCTTGAGGGTTTCTATCTGTATCTTCAATTCTATTCCATTGGTTTTCATTTATATTTTGGAGCCAATATCATGCTGTTTTAATTATTACAGCTCTGTAGTATAATTTCAGATTGGTATTGTGATACCTCCTGTTTTACTTTTCTTGCTCAGTATTGCTCTGGCTATTCTGGATCTCTTATTGGTCCAAATAAATTTAATAATTGTTTTTCCTAATTCTGCAAAGAATGTCAGGGAATACCAGCATCTTGATTGCTGAGTAATGAGATGTCAGCCACAGTTTTTTGTTGTTGTTGTTGTTGTTGTTTGTTTGTTGTTATAATATTAAATATCCTCAGGCTTCTGGGAAAATATTTGAAGTTAGGTTTGGATAGCTAGGCTTGGTGATGCACACATGTAGTCCCAGACTCTAGAGGCTGTGGCAGGAGGATTGCTAGTTTGAGGCTAGCCTCAGCAACTTAACATACCCTGTGTAAAAATAAAAGGGCTTGGGGCACAGTGTATTTCAATGATAGAGCACCCCTGGATTCAACCCCTA